TCAAACATGTAGGATACATCCCAATAGCCACGATACTTTGGGTGGTTCAGACAGGTAGGATCCATGCCAATAGCCACGATACTTTGGCTGGATCAGACAGGTAGGATACATGCCAATAACCACGACACTTTGGGTAGTTCAGACATGTAGGATCCATACCAGTAACCAAGATACTTTGGGTTCTTCAGACAGGTAGGATCCATGCCAATAGCCATGATACTTTGGGTTGTTCAGACCGGTATAATCCATGCCAATAGCCACGATACTTTGGGTGGTTCAGACAGGTACGATCTATGCCAATAGCATCGATACTTTTGGGTGGTTCAGACATGTAGGATCCATGCCAATAACCACGATACTTTGGTGGTTCAAACATGTAGGATACATCCCAATAACCACGTGTCACAGGTTCTTCTTGAGATTGGCAGTATCTGCCACTGTAGTTTTCTTCTCTCTGTGACGTGCCGGGACTCTAGTGCCGAACTACATAGATATTGATATTAGATCCAAATATTTTTTTAGAGATTCAAATAACGAAGATCCTTCAATTCAAAAACAAAACTTTTAATTCAGGAACTAGGAATCACTCACAATATACACAATGTACAAATAAAACTGTATCACATGAAAATCTTCTTCCGAGCTCGTTACCAAATAGATTCAAAATATATATGAATTCTACATTGACAACTTGAGTTACATCTCCAAACTGACGTCCCAAAAGACCAGCTATAACCAATGCCACAATTCTCAGGAGATAACCATGTTTTCAATCACGTGATCAGGTGACGTCATAGGTTTTGTCCGTCTTTAAAAATAGTCTAGAAGGAAAGGTGGAGCCAAATACCAAGGTTACATCCGGGAAGAGTTAATTTTAGATTGACTGATACGTGACACCACTATACTTTTGGGTGATTCAGACAGGTAGGTCCCATACCAATAATCACGTCACTTTGGGTGCGTTAGGATAGGTAGGTCCCATACAAATAATCACGTCACTTTGGGTGCGTTCTTCCTTGAAAGGATAATGGAAGATGCTCTCGAGGGCTATGATGATACAGTTAGCATTGGAGGAAAAAGAATCACTAACTTGCGCTTCGCAGATGACATTGATGGCCTAGCAGGGACAGAAGAAGAACTAGCTGAACTGGTGATGCGCAATGACAAGACTTCCGCAGCATATGGCATGCAAAATAAATGCCGAAAAAAAATTTATGACCAATAGCCAACAGGGCTTTATAAGAGGCATCAGTATTGGAGGTGAAAAGCTGACTAGTATTAACACATGTCAACCATGACTTTACAATTAATCTACTTTCATAAACTTTGTCTAATTCTAGGCTATAACGATGACGCGCTGGAAACTTGAGCGAAAAGTCAATGACAAAATATTGGAATTTATATTTCCAATTTATAACCTTAATGCGGGAACCTCGATGAAGGTAATTATTCATTTTTTAAAAAATGTGATTGCATCTTTATTTTTACAATCTCAATTCAAAAACTTTGTGTATAAATTATGAATTTATGAATTATAAAATATGTTTAGGATTAAAAATCGAAATATTTACATTTATGATGCACAAAAATAATGTAAGGAATAGGTTTATTAAGGTTAAAGCGATGAAAGGCGCATAATCAATTTTCTGTCAAAGTTCTATGTAAGTGTTATTAGAGTTTAGACTTCATGAAGATGTTATTCAAATGTCTAATGCAAAGGTCTATCCTGAAAGCCAAGCTTCCCTTAAACGTGACAAAACTGACCTCGTGGCGAAAGGCATAACAACCTGGGATCATAGCTTTACAGCTGAGACTCTCTTATTTAATGACAACGGAAAGGTAAGATTGAAACTCAAATGTGTTTTAAGATGAACAATTGCTGACGTAGTCAAGTTAAGAGCAGTCACAATTCATAAATCAACTAAAAATCATTTTAATTGAAATCATTTGACATAATTTTTTTCCCCAATAAGCATAACTTTGAGAGCTTCTTTATCCATCATTTCGTGTATACATATAATTGTATTTCAAAGTAATGCTATGTCGTCTGCAGAATTAAACTAACATCAAGAACAAAACTTCAAGCGCCGTCACTCTGTCCCAACCAATGAACCAATAAAATAATCGTAAAAATAATAAATAAACATAGAAATCTTTAAGTCTTACAACCCAGGTTCTATAAAGTGCCGTTTACAATAGTATATACCAAACCTAATCACCACACCGTATGACCTCGCTACAAGCTCGTCACGTCATGCAGTACGGAGTAAAGAATAAAAAAAATGCAAAGACGAATGTATTTTCTAATACAAATTCTTAAATTTCACTTACGGTATTATCCGTATCCCTACCCAAACTGGGCCCCGCGAAATCCGTTTCGCATAGGGCTCCATAACGGTTGAGTCCGGCCCTGCTTTTTAGTGACGGGTGAATATGAGTAGATGACTTGTTCTCCCCCCCCCCCCTCTTTTTTCGCCGCTAAGTGAGGTAGAAATAAAAAAGATCGATCTTTCTTGGTCACAACTGTCCGGCCCTGCTATTTAGTGACGGGTGAATACTACTTGTTTTCCCCCACTCCCTCTTTTTTTTCCTGGCGTAACTCTAGCTCGTCCGACTTGCAGAAATAAAAGAGTGATCTTTCCTTTACTTCTTGCTTGCGTGTCCAAACTCTTGAGCAATGAAGAAGAGTTTGAAGAGTCGTATTATTGATGACGTGTTGACCTCTTTGCTTTTAAATGAAAAATAACGCCAAAAGTTTTTTTTTTTTAATTTTGTTACTTTAAAGTTTAAACGATCAAAATAAGACTATGGCTTGAATATTCCTGATCCACGGGTGAATTTGAAAGGGGGATAATCTTGTTCTTTAATGACATGACCACGAGTAGATCATATTCTTACTCATTTACCAAAATAGACTCATTGATAGGTTATGAGACTTTAATCTTAGTTCAACAAATTATAATATATATCAATAAGAACCTTGTTGACATTACACCATCATAAGTATATTCTACTTTTAACACGCTTTGCTGCGCACTTAACAGACACGAACGATCTAGAAATTCACGCCACATAAGGTGCTTGCCAGTTTGGCCTGCTATGATACTAAATAACTTGCTTTGGTTACCTTTGTGACTAAACATGTAACCTTACGTGCCGTACAGCATCGAGGGCTGCATTGTACTTTTGTGAGACGTGTGTACGTGGCACTCGGCAGAGCTCTCACTCTGGCACCGTATTAGCTACATGGGTGTAACACTATCTGTTAAAGGTAACGTTAAAGGTTTGTGATAATGTTGTTGGTTATTGTCTTTCAGTCGTGAGGGATAGGGTTCTTCTCATAGAGCTAGGTAAAAGTCTGGGCAGTAGTAATAGTCCGAGCGATGCCATCGACACAGTAGCTCCCCCACACCACACAGCAGTTTTCCCTCTCAACACAGCAGTTCCCACTCTCCCCGCAGCCATTCCCTCTCTACACATAGCAGTTCCCACTCTCCACGCAGCGGTTCCCTCTCTCCACGGAGCGGTTCCCTCTCTCCACGTAGCGGTTCCCTCTCTCCCCGCAGCGGTTCCCTCTCTCCCCGCAGCAATTCCCTCTCTCCACGCAGCGGTTCCCTCTCTTCACACAGCGGTTCCCTCTCTCCACGCAGCGGTTTCCTCTCTCCCTGCAACCATTCCCTCTTTCCACGCAGCGGTTCCCTCTCTCCACACAGCAGTTCCCACTCTCCCCGCAGCCATTCCCTCTCTCCACGCAGCGGTTCCCTCTCTCCACACAGCAGTTCCCCCTCTCCACACAGCAGTTCCCACTCTCCACACAGCAGTTCCCCCTCTCCACACAGCAGTTCCCCCTCTCCACACAGCAGTTCCCCCTCTCCACGGAGCCGATGAGTTCAAAAGGAACGTCAATATGTTAGATTGGGAGCTGGTCTCGCGGCGCCTTTGGGTAAAGTTGAAATGACGTGGCAGACACATGTGAGCGTTGCCAGCCAAGACCAGTCGTCATAGAGGGCCTGAACACTGACCTGCTACGTCGCAACCTGTGGGCGGTGGAGGCCAATAGCTCGTTGCCACGTTACAGGTTGCGCCGCCGCAGGTCAGTGTTCAGGCCTACTATAACAATGGTCTTGGGTCAGTGTATTACTTGCGTTACGGACATTCGGGTTAGTAGGCCTACTGGTATAAACACAGTGTGTGGATAGCCCGTGACCAGTTGACATTTTCAAACAAACTGGCGATAGATAGGCCCTAGGAGTTTCTGCGTGTATAAATAAAAAAACTTCAGATTCATATTGTTACAAATAGAAAGACCATCCTATTTTTCTTTATAGATTTTGACCTAATCCTTAATATACCGAACTATTTGACTCTGGAAGTCTATTACAATCTGTATTACTTGTGTCACAGGATGTTGCACGCTACACGGAGCAACTGAGAGATTCCTAAACTGAAACTGCATGAACAGATGAGAGTCAAACAGATTTGATGACCTTTCATGCGTCACTTTGAATTATTTGCTTTTCATTTCCTTTGCCATATTTACTGGCTTTTCTTACAACAATATGTTTTTACTTGTTAGGTTCATGTTATAAAAATGTATTGATCAGGATTTACATGTATTTTTATAAATAATACAGGATACTAGAAAGTTATATCAAGTACGTAGAGCTAAGAATATAAATGTAAGATATACAGCTAAAGATATACAGCTAAAGATATACAGCTAAAGATATGCAGCTAAAGATATGTAGCTAAAGATATGCAGCTAAAGATATGCAGCTAAAGATATGCAGCTAAAGATATGCAGCTAAAGATATGCAGCGAAAGATATACAGCTAAAGATATGCAGCTAAAGATATGCAGCTAAAGATATGCAGCTAAAGATATGCAGCTAAAGATATGCAGCGAAAGATATACAGCTAAAGATATGCAGCTAAAGATATGCAGCTAAAGATATGCAGCTAAAGATATGCAGCTAAAGATATGCAGCTAAAGATATGCAGCTAAAGATATGCAGCTAAAGATATGCAGCTAAAGATATGCAGCTAAAGATATGTAGGTAAGTAGGCGACATCACATCTCATTAAAAATTTAAAACATAGTTCTCTAATTCTAGAAAATCACTTCTTGACAACCCCAAGACTGTAACGCAACCACCTGTCTCTTTATCTCATATACAGTTGTTCTATCTAATTTAACAATTGTATTATAGATGTTTCTTGAAAAGACTTAGCTGCTGCATATTTACATTTGTCCTAAACCTAAGCTTTCAAGTTGACATTAAGTACATAGAATGACTCTCCGAAAGAAAAGAAAAATAAAATGTAAACTTATTCTGGATTTTAACCCTGCACAACTGACACCTGAAGTCCTACTTGTTGGTTAATACCAATTTGTTATTGTCGTCTATTAGTTGAAAACGTCTCTATTTGAATCGAAATTCTAAGTATTAACGAAGATTAAACAATGATTGGTCTCATGAACCTGTCGAAAAAAAAAAAGAGGTTTTTATTGTTGACAAGGGAACAACTTACGTCAAACTACTTCTGGACGTTGCTCTGGTCATTTCACGTTCTATAATTGCTTTTTTGAATAATTTTAGTAACACATTTTTTTAAAATTGAAATATTGTTCATAAGAGAAATAACGTACATGATTGTGACCTATAAACTATAAGAGCAGGCGTACACAAATTTGAATCAATTATGTTTGCATAAAGTCTTCAATAACAATGTAGGACATGACACATTGAGTCAGTACAGATCCAATGTAGGACATGAATCGTTGAGACACTACAGATCCAATGTAGGACATGACACATTGAGTCACTACAGATCCAATGTAGGACATGACACATTGAGTCAGTACAGATCCAATGTAGGACATGACACATTGAGTCACTACAGATCCAATGTTGGGGACAAATCCAAATCTCTGGAGGATAGTAAGAAAGAACAGTTTTGTTTTAAATGACCAACTCGAGCTTCAAATATCCCAATGTTCAACTGTTGAACTTCTGACTCTACAATGACTAAAGACTGGCTATTGAGGGTTTCATCTTTTGGCGGTGTGTCAATGGTTAGCACTTCTTAGCAGTCTGATAAGTAAAATAATAAAAGCCTAGTGTTTATTTGTCTTTTATCGCAAAGTGTTTAGATATTCAACTGATTTAAGTGTCGCATGCACTGGCCTAGGTATGTTAAAAGCATAGGAACTCACAATTACCATTTATAATAATTGTTGTTTAAATTGAAATGAATGTCTTTTCCTTACATATTATAACGCATATTATTTTTCGCATATATTACTTTTTTTTTTAAACATTAACTTTTTAAATGTGTAGTTCTATAGAGTTAAAATATTTACGCGTTATTATTATTTTTTGTACTTTACTAAATGTATAAGTATATATAATTGTTAATGTTGTACTTTCTAAAATGTATGAGTATATATAATTGTTATTGTTGTACTTTCTAAAATGTATGAGTATATATAATTGTTAATGTTGTACTTTCTAAAAGGTATGAGTATATATAATTGTTATTGTTGTACTTTCTAAAATGTATGAGTATATATAATTGTTATTGATGTACTTTCTAAAATGTATGAGTATATATAATTGTTATTGTACTTTCTAAAATGTATGAGTATATATAATTGTCATTGTTTTAAACGTGTGTAGTTAAGTTAGATTCATATTTTCTAAACAAATATCATGTCTTTGAGTGTTGATTTCTTCCCCATCATGTAAATTATTGCCTTTTATTACGGCTTTGTTGTGGATATGTTAAAAATATGAGGATGAACTATTTGATTACAAATATATAAAGTTTAGAAGAAGTATTTAGTGTGTAAAGGGTTAACGAAGACTTGCCATGCCGGAGAGAAAGAATTTTCGTTAAATGTTTTACAGGCTTTAGATGTTCCTTCAGAATTGAAGATAGTTTACTTTCTAGTCCAAACCTCCCGCAGGACGACGGGGGATGGGAGCGGGCAGGGTTTGAACCCAGGACCATCGATAAATCCAAACGTGTCGTCCACTGCGCAAACCGCACGACCAGGCAGCTAGCACTTGTGATTTAACTGGCTTCTCTTTTAAAGATCTTTAGGCTATCATACAATAAAAGACATGGCCTAATGAAGACATGGCCTAATGGCTTTTATCTTAGATAAGTTTAAACGACATATATTTGGATGTTTCAGTTTCAAGCTCAGAAAATCTCAATGACGATTTCGATCACAGGTGTGACATTCTTTCGAGAGCGAGATTCGTGAAGGGTTACATGATTCTGGAAAAAGGAGGACACGTCCTCCATTTTATGAGAGTGAAAATGTCCGGCTTTCACTCTGTTGTTTACTGTAATGAAAATATTTTCAATCAATCGAATTTATTCCTTTATATCTTCTGGTTTAAATGCTTAAATCGACTAATAAATTGTTGAAACGTTACAATTCTTTGAAAACAACCTTCATAACCATTGGTTTATTGTGGACTGTAAAAGCAACTTGTTATTCAGAGCATCTTGAGATCTGCAAGTGTCTTTCTATTACATTTGTGGACATAATGTTAAAATCAAAAGAGCGTCTTGAGACACACAAGAATATAAGAACGTAGTGAGAGACGTCGTTCTAGGGTCAACCGGAAGTAAATGTGCATGCAGTGACACACATATAGAATAAAGTACAGCCAAAAGTCACCCCGAGAAAGTTACATGTTTTACAACTTTTAATGTTTACTTTTCAGGGTCGTCTTTACAGTAGCAATTAACTTGTTTCAATGAGTTATGTGTGTCCTCCTTTCGGGCTGGAGGCATCTGTTAACCCTTGACCTGTGTCATTTGCAAAAGCCCGTTATGACTATTTGTTTCAACTTTGTATCAATAATGCTTTGCCTCTTGATATATTTATCCATCTCAATCAATGTAGTCCTATTGTATGTCACCAGAAAATAAACAAATGAAATTCTTATAAGTGTCCGTTGTTGTTGTGTCAATGTTGACAGAGAGATAAACAGATACAGAAAGAGCTATAGGGAGTAGGCACCTGGCTAGAAATTTTTAAAAAGCAGATGTATGATATAAAAGCGATTGCAATATTTCACTGTACTAAGCAGCGGTTCTCAATCATTTGACGACCCCGATCACCTCACAGTTGCACAGTTATGAATTGTAACCCATGATCGGACAAAGGTCGAAATAAGGAAATTTGTTATCACAATAAAAAAATGTCATTAATAAGTAGATGTAGATAAAAGTTTAGTTTGACATTTGGGCATCGCAAGTAGTATCGATATGGTTAAAGGAGAAGATCCAATGTTATCGAGCACACTTTGTGTCGGGACGGAGGCGACACACAGGTTGAGAACTTTATGCATACGTTATTTTATATCAACAGAGAATAGTGGCTTCTAATGTCCTAGTCAAAGTCGCAATGGTTGAGATTTATGATTATGTGCACTAAACAACACGTCAGTTATTAGTCAGTGCGATGTTCTAAATTATTTTGAGGTCTTCTAGATAAGAAAATCTTGCTGACAAATTTTAAAAATGTTTCGGCTGATATGTCGTTTGTCCTGTTTGGAAATAAGAAATCTGAGTTGACGTTTTCAATTTGAAGCTTAGACTTAATATTGTGTTCTTCAATAGAGGCTTCTTGTTGGTTTAGGGCAGCGGTTCTCAGCCTTCTTGGATCGGCGACCTATTTCTACAATTCTCTATTATGCAGCGATTACCAACCGTAAAATTTTTTTTCGTTCATAAGCAAAGAAATACTAATTTTAATGTACCTATCTGATATGTACAACAAACGTTGTATGTTTTATCAAGAAACATACGTCATTCTATTCTTGTCATAGATAGTACTCATTAGAATTAAATGACAATTATATCAAATTGTATCTCTGACTTGCATTTACTTATTTATTTCTTATTGACCATATTCATGTTGCAGACCTATGTGACACTTCAATAAGCATGGCTGAAAAATTACCGCAATATATTCTCGACAGCCTGCTCTTCTTTCTGATTCACCAGGTCAGGAATTCTCGTCATCTTCTGCATCATCTTTTTCTATATTTAGACTTCGAAATTAACAGACTGCAAAACTCGTTTCGCACAAATGTATTATTGGAAATGAATTTTGAAAAAGCACAACTGGGATATTTGCAAACACTTGAATCCAATTTGTGTCACTGACATTGAAAAGAAACTGTTTTTTCGCTGCATCTCTCTTGAGAATAAAATGTTTTGTTTGTTTTGTCTTCGTAACATTTTAACTTTGACTTTGGATAATGGCAAACGTGATGTCAAGTAGATTTGGAAAATATTTTGTCCGCAAGCATTCACAGAAATTTTAAATGCATCTGTCAGCTTCAATGTCAATTTTCTCCTAGAGAGCAGCGAATCGATTGACATGTTTCCTCCAATTTTGTTTGCCGATTTGAAGTTTGATTTGGAAGGATTGGATTTTTTCAAACAAAATTGAGGCATGCTGCATTTGATCCTACCAGTGACGCTTTTTTTTGCTTCTTGTAATTCTTGTGGCAGTGTCTTCATAACTAATATTTGTCGATGAGTTCCGTGACTTTTGTTGACTTATTCTTTACCAAACGTAAAAATCCAGACTAACAAACTAGTAAACTTGGAGCATCATCTGTGCAGACGCCCCTAATTCTGTCCCAAGAGATTTTAAATAAAAAAAAGGAACCATCTTTCTCTTGTACAGCATGTACTGCAGTAGTCGTTTGAAGTGAAACTCCTTTTAAAAATCACCATCTTGTATCTACCTAACCTTACATCTAACATTCTGCTTATCCTTGCCAGAGTAATTTTGTCTATTTTTGTTTCATAGATTTGGTTTATAGAACTTTTAAACAAATGACACATTGGGATTTTTTAATTGAATTCTTCAACTATTACAATAAAACCGTAGCGTAAAAAAAATTACATTAAATTTTGTTTTCTTAACGTTCTGTTGGTGGAGATCCATGTGAATAGTTTGCTCCATACTGAGATGTGACCTCTATTGATGGAGATACATGTGAATTGTTTGCTCCATACTGAGATGTGACCTCTATTGATGGAGATCCATGTGAATAGTTTGCTCCATACTGAGATGTGACCTCTATTGATGGAGATCCATGTGAATAGTTTGCTCCATACTGAGATGTGACCTCTATTGATGGAGATCCATGTAAATAGTTTGCTCCATACTGAGATGTGACCTCTATTGATGGAGATCCATGTGAATTGTTTGCTTCATACTGAGATGTGACCTCTATTGATGGAGATCCATGTGAATTGTTTGCTCCATACTAAGATGTGACCTCTATTGATGGAGATCCATGTGAATTGCTTGCTCCATACTGAGATGTGACCTCTTTTGATGGAGATCCATGTGAATTGTTTGCTCCATACTGAGATGTGACCTCTTTTGATGGAGATCCATGTGAATAGTTTGCTCCATACTGAGATGTGACCTCTATTGATTGAGATCCATGTGAATTGTTTGCTCCATACTGAGATGTGACCTCTATTGATTGAGATCCATGTGAATTGTTTGCTCCATACTGAGATGTGACCTCTATTGATTGAGATCCATGTGAATTGTTTGCTCCATACTGAGATGTGACCTCTATTGATGGAGATCCATGTGAATTGTTTGCTCCATACTGAGATGTGACCTCTATTGATGGAGATCCATGTGAATTGTTTGCTCCATACTGAGATGTGACCTCTATTGATGGAGATCCATTTGAATTGTTTGCTCCATACTGAGATGTGACCTCTATTGATGGAGATCCAAGTGAATTGTTTGCTCCATTCTGAGATGTTACCTCTATTGATGGAGATCCATGTGAATTGTTTGCTCCATACTGAGATGTGACCTCTATTGATGGAGATCCATGTGAATTGATGCTCCATACTGAGATGTGACCTCTATTGATGGAGATCTATGTGAATTGCTTGCTGCATACTGAGATGTGACCTCTATTGATTGAGATCCATGTGAATTGTTAGCTCCATACTGAGATGTGACCTCTATTGATGGAGATCCATGTGAATTGTTTGCTCCATACTGAGATGTGACCTCTATTGATGGAGATCCATGTGAATTGTT